GATCAGCAACAGAACATGGACAGAGCTCCTTTCCATAGAAACCATGGTGTAACAGTTTGAGCTATGGCATGGTATGCCTGTATGAGACTTCCTGTTGCAGACAGACTTAGCATAGACAAAGGGAAGGAGGGCATATTGTGCCTGGAAAGGCAGTAGTCTTTATGTTCGTCCTGCCCCAGAGGCTACCAGTATCAGCATTTCTGGCAGCTTCTGGGGTCCCATAGCCCTGCTGACACCTGACACTGGCCTTGCCTGTCCTGTGTTGGGTGGCAGGGTCTGGGAGTTGCCATTTGAATTTTCCACAATGCCCCTAACACAGAATCATTCAGAGGCATTGTGAGAAATTAAAAGATAGCTCCGCCATCTATCTAATCTGACCAGAGGACCGGCACTGGTGTGTGTTGCCATCATCTCCAGGTAAACTCCTAGAAATCCATCAGCACAGGAGAGAGCTCACCAGAATGTACTTTGCCATGGGCCTCCTCTAATTTGGATCCAGCCCTGTAGGGCCAGATAAGGGCAATCACACAGTTCTTCTCCAGCCTCTTTTCCAGTGTGACTGAGCCTGTGCAAGACCTCTGTACCTTCTCCATTGTCGTGTTTTTGAGAGGAGTAGCATCATGGCCTGCTTGGTTCGAAGGGCAAGCTTATATTAAAGAACAGGAAAATCTAGATAAGCGTAAGAGTAGAAAAAACTGCCCAAGGTGTAGCATCTGTGCATCATTTCCAAAAGGGTAGGAGGGAAACAAAGGGTAAGGGTCAAACAATAAAAATGTAATACACGGAAGGGCCACTGCAGTGGTGAAGGTGCTTTGGGAAACTGTAGCTGGAGATGGCAACAGATTGATGGCTTTAGATTGGGCTGTTTTTCCTGTCCTTTCCAACATGTCATTGCAAGTCATAAGAGTTGATGGTTATAAACATGATGTGATAAATAGCCTCTGTTGCGACTTTCTCACTTGTTTTTCTTTTCATGACTGGAGTGTGTCTCAGCTGCTTTTCTGAATATAAATGTGAATTTGTGTGCTTAGTGACTAAATCACTGCTATGAAAACTTCTTCATTGATGGTGAGCTTTTGCAACACATTGCTCATAATGCTTCAGCTATGGTAATATATTTAGAAAAGGGATAATCTGTGCCATCAGGGCTGATGTGAGAAACCCTCATCATTGGGATTCCAGAACCCAAGGCCCCAGGAGGAAATACTCTATGCTGTAGCTCTGGCTTGCTTGTACGCCCTGTGAGTCAGATAGTCCACGTTGGCAATTTATTTTTTAATAATAATTTTGCTTTAATTTTCATTTGGGCACATCTGGTATCTTGTGAGGCCAAAATCTCCCTGGCCTATCCCCAGATTCCTCTTTTAGCTTGCAGCTGGGGTAGCTGTTTGCTGCCACCGTTTGGTAGATGACATTCCATGGCTTCTGGGGCACCTTTTGGGATGCTTGATGTTTGTCTTGCCAGTAAAAAATATGGCATAAAATAAAAAGGATGAAGCTTATTTGTAGGCTGAAGTACGCAGTAAGGACATGAAGGTTTTAGAGCATCAGCGGTGGGGAATTAGAACTGATTTCAGACTAACAGGACAATGCTACACAGATACACTAAGTGGCAGTAACTCTTATCCCAGATAGGTGGATGTATGATTGTAACTTTACTTTCTTCCCAAAGGCAAGAATAGACTTCAGAAGTTTTTGCAGAGTGCACGCACCTCTTGATTCAATTTAGACTAACTTCCCATGTATCTTCTAAACAGGTTGGTAATCCAGTGTGGGGTGGGCAGTGGTGCAGTTAAGAAATTCTAGGCTCTGGACAATGATCTTATGGTTCCTCCCATTAGATGATCTTTAGCTGTTGATGCCTATTATGTAGAGACAGTGTGGTGTTGGGATCAGAGTCTTAGTCCTAGGACTAGTCTAAGGTCCTAGTCTTCCTTGGTCATGAAGCTCACTGTGTAACTTTGGGCAAGTTACTATTTTCAGCCAAACCTGCTTTACAGGGTTGTTGTGAGGATAAAATGGAGAGCAGGAGGACCATGTGGGTCACTTCGAGTTCCTCACAAGAGGAAAAAAGGCAGGCTATAAATGCAGTGTTGTTGTTATTACGATGAAATCACCTGTCTCACTGTGAACCTGCCTGAAGATCTGCCTTTTGAAGGTCCCAGTGATTACAGAGGCCAGTTTGTCATGCATATGTAAAAGGGCTTTCACCTGTACTTCTTCCAAAGTATAGATTGTGCTCTCTCAAAAACTATCCCACTCTTTTTGAGAGTCTGTAAAGATGCATTTTTTCAGTTCTGCCTTTTAAAATGGTAATTTTTATGTTCTAATGTTTTTACTATTTAATGTTATGTTTTTATATATATTCTGTTTGCAGCCTTGATGGCTTTTAGCAGATAACGTGGGACATTAAATGCTAATAGTTAGTAAATGGTTAGATGGTACATTATTTTAATTGCTTGAAAATGCAGGAAACCCCCTGCTGCATTTGGGAATCCTTTTCCTTTTGCCAAGTGGAGCCATGGACATTTAGCCCGACCTCCTAGGTTAGGTATGGGGTGAATTTTCTGCCGACACTCAGGATATCTTCATGACAGACACTGTCATCAGAGCTTCTATATAAAAATCCAGTACTCTTATCTCATATACCACATGCTGGCCATTAGGTTGCCCTGGGTATGAGATCAGGCAATTTTTTTTCCAAATAGGAGTTCCAAATGCAATCTACAAAGTACCTTCCTGAAAATGGTGGCAAAAACACTGGCATTTTGCTGTGCAGTAGCTGGACATCAGGTTACGAACAGTTTGTGCATGAATAAACTATGGATAGAGTGAGTCAGACCTCAGATATGAGGCCTGTGTTGGACGCTTTACCATGGCTTCCTAAATCATAATTTAGTAGTCAGGAGTGAGTGATAGGACAGCATACTCTTGTCTCTCCTTTCTTACACTCCCATAGAAAACTGGGAACTGCAGTTTAGCATCAGCTGACTAACAAGGAACTTAACCATGGTGTGAAACTGGTTTATGGTCTTGCTTAGTAAACTGACTCCATTTAGTTTAATTAAGCCAGAATGTAGGGGCCAAAGGAGGGAGAAGGCAAGGTGAGAGGACAGATGAGGAAGGAATGCTTGATCCTGGTTGCTAAACTATGGTTCAGGAAGTGGGAATTGATCATCTGAGCTGCCCAGAATCTGGCCCCATGTTATGTGGGTTGCTCCCACTTCTCAAATCAGTTCCCTCTCCCTTAATTTAGTGACATACTGTTTGTCCTGCCAACAGACTGTTGTAGAATGTAGCAATAGACTGTGAAGGCCTAGTGCTCTCGGGAGCCAATTGCTGCCAGGAATGCAGCTAAAAGAACACTCAGTGAAAATAAAGAGTTTTGAAAACTGTTTTCGAGAGAGGCACAGGGCTCGTGAAGGAGCCTAATTGAGGGCAGCAGTCAGTTCCAGGAGAACAGAGCAGCACAGAAAGATGAGAGGAGAATAGGCCTCTAAATATCTCAGCGGGAGAGCAGTCTTCTGCCTTACACACTATTCTTAGCAGCACAAAACAGGGCCTTTGGGAGGGTAAGGAGTGCTTGCCATGCTTCCTTCAACGGGGAGCCATAGGCTGGCGGGGGGGGGGGGGAATAGTACAAGTAGGATACTGGGTGCTCATCGGAGGAATAACTAGGGTCTGAGGGTAGAGAGCGAGGCACTTTCATGGTGCATTCCTCTCTACCACGGAGCCACTTTCAAGCCCTTAGCTAGCAGTTTGTGTCATTGCAAAACAGTATAATCTCAACTGTCAACTAGCCTAATGGGTCTTACGTTTATGCAGTTTTATAATTTATCATGATATATTAGTCTGGAAAGCAAAAGAGTGTTGCAAGGCTTTCACCAGATTTCCACTGAGGCTGTTAGTCTGTTTTACTGCGGTGAGTGCTGTATTTATGTGATGGTTTTAGAAGATTTGCTCATCATCCTGAAAATTCAAAGGACAGTAAAGACTTTTTTAAACAAATATATGTTTAACAAGGGGAGGCACTAGTTCATACTCCATAGTCTACTGAATCTTAAGATTTATACAGAAAGAAGATTCCAGTGTGGTTTAAAGTTGTTTTGTTTCAAACAAATCATATTTAGCATTAACCACAGTTTGTTAGTTTGGATGACACATGGAACTTTGGTTAAGGAGAAACAAAAGTGAAACATCCTAAACTTCTCATGGCAATGCCAAAGGAGGAGAAGGGAGCAACAAGCCAAAGACTTGATAGTTTAGCATGATGTCCAAGCTCAGCCAGTATAACTCCGTGTTCAGAAACATTGCATTCAATTCAATTATGGGTTCTGTGCATCTCCTAAAAATACAGAATGTGATATCTGCCAGGATTGTGGGGCTTGAACATTTTCAAGTCCCTACTCTCCTCTTTATGGATTAATGGACAAAGTCATCTGAGCTAGAAGAGAAACTTTAATTTGAAACAGATGAACAAAAACTTCACGTGATATACACGGGGCATGCCATTTCAAACAGGGGAATGAATATCTTGAACATGCTCTCATATAAAATATTCACTAGACATAAAAAATCAACGTGAAAGAGAAAGGAGTTTATATTAGGCTTTTGCTTCACATGTTGGTTTCCTGAATCCTTCACTTCCCAGCAACCTGAAATGGTTGTGGTTTGCTCATGGAGTTTATTTATATGCTCACTGCTTTCTCTACAGTAGTGGGTAACCTGGAACTCATGTTTTCCAAGGAACCTTGTGAGAATCAAATGAACCAAGATTTCCCAAGGCAGAATTCCCACGGTTATAGTTTTCAAAAGAACCTACCAAAAGTCTGAGTGCTTGCAAGCTACCATGCAATACTTCTTTTGCTTATATGCTAATTTACCTTGTAGAGATCTCAACTCCAAATGATTAGCATCTCCAAAAGGGTTAATTTCAGAAAATTTCTTCCTGACCTACAATTAACACCCTGACCTCATCCTTCTTTGTTTTCTTCTATTAGATGTGGAGCAGATGGCTATTGACTGGCTTACTGGCAACTTCTACTTTGTGGATGACATTGATGATCGGATATTTGTCTGCAACAAGGATGGGGTCACCTGTGTGACGCTGCTTGACCTGGAGCTCTACAACCCCAAAGGCATTGCACTAGACCCAACCATGGGGTGAGGATCGCTTTGTGTAGCTTGCAGATGAAGAATATCTTGGTTTGGGGAGGATGGAGAAAATGTTGCAGTGGAAGGTTTCCAGAATCCAGACTCCATATAGTAAATCTTGATGTTAGAAAAATGCCACAGCCTGGAGCTTTCAGGGTGCTTATTGTATGCAGGATGAAACACAGAGCACACCTGAGCAACCAAGCTCTTTCCCTCCCTCCCTCAAACCACCAAAATATTCCTGCTATTTTAAAGCAAATTCACAGAATCATAGAATAGTAAAGTTGGAAGTGGCCTATAAGGCCATCAAGTCCAGCCCCCTTCTCAATGCTGGACTCAAACCTAAAGCATCCCTGACAGATGGTTGTTCAAGTGCCTCCTGAATGTCTTTAGCATGGGAGGACCCACCACCTACTTAGGCCATTGGTTCCATTCTCATGCTGCTGTAGCAGACAGGAAGTTTTTTCTGATGTCCAACTGGAATCTAGCTTCCTGCAGCTTGAGACTGATGATCCTGGTCTTCCACTGTGTGACAACCATTCCGGTACTTGAAGAGTGTTGTCTTATCTCCCCTCAGTTTTTTCTTCTCCAAGTTAAACAGACCCATTTCTTTCTATCTCTCCTCACAGGGCTTTGCATTCAGTCCCCTGATCAACTTTGTTACCTTTGTCTGAACCTTTTCCAGTTTGTCTGATCTTTCTTGAAGTTTGGCACCCAGAACTAGACTTAGTACTCAGGACAGGGCCTAATTATTGCCAAATTGAGGGAAACCTGTACTTCACATGATTTGGAAGCTATACTTCTTTCAATGCAGTCCCAAATAGCATTTGCTTTTCTACAGCAACATGAGTTGCTGGTTTGATGTTGTTGTTCTTGTTCTTGTTATGAGCTATAGCTTTACTAAGTGATGAACAAATAGCCACACAGTGCACTTTGCTACTATTTAGCACTGCTTAGTGCATGTTGATGCATTTTGAAGGAAACTAGAGAGATAATCTGTATCAAAGGAGGCTTGAGTGGCCTTGGAGAGCTAAAACAGCTCTAAGAGGCCCTGCAGGTTAAGGGGCGAAGCCAGAATAAAGTCCCCTGAACATAGATGAAAATATGGGTATGTCTCCCATATGACAGTTACCTAACATGTCCCTCCCCTCAAGAAGTATTATTGATTAAGCATGGTCCCCAGCTTACTGTTCCCTGGGTTAATGAACCCATAATACATTCTTTTGCAAATTGCTATACAAATTGTAGTCTACCTAGCAGCTTTACCTTCCACAGTAATTTTATCCTTTCTTGCTTTGGAGGAAAACCATGACAATTCTGTTGCAGCTAGGTGGCCCATGGGAAATTTGGGACTTGCTTTGAGACATGCATGGATTGAAGGAAGGAAAGTTTAAGATCACTTTCACAAAACTGAATTTATAAAAATGCAAATTGGGATTTCTTTCTCACCAACTTTGAGGTTCTTGCATCCAAAGCCTTTAAAAAGGTTATCAGAAGCTTTTGTTTTCAGTCAGGCTACTAGTTAATTTTACTGAAGTCACACATAGCAGAGACGTTAATTATGAAATCCAGAGTGTGATGCTGCACAGAATATGAATTACACTCTAATAGATGCAAATTGGGATTTCCTCAGAGTTTAAAAAGACACGATCCAGGCAGAATCCCAGAGCCTGAAGCTATAAGTAATTCACTTTTCATGCTTGACCATCTCTCTTAAATGATCACTGCCCCCTTTGAATAGCTAGCTAAGTGCCTGTCAGTGTGAACACTACCCAGCTGAGCATGAGCCTATATGAAATGGCCAGTTCCTCTCTTTCTCTCTCCCCCTTTTGAATTACTGCCCATTTAGAAAGCTTCGATGGAACAATTAATTAACACAGTGGCTGCTATTTGGGAGTGAATGGCATTTTTGTATTCTAAGACCTGCGATAATTTTTCTGATTTGAAACTTGGCTTTAGACTGAGGAGGGCAATGGATTTATAGAGCTCATCCTGAGACTTTTCCTCCTGTGTCTGAAGGAGCAGACTAGCATTCTTCAGATATGGGGTTATTACTACATTATTACAATGCAGTTATATACTGCTTTTTTTCCTCTTGTGAGGAATCCAAACTGGCTTTCATAGCTCCATTTTAATCCTCATAACAATACAGCTGCGAGGTAGGCTAGTCTGAGAGTGAGTGACTAGCCCAACGTTACCCAGGGAGCCTCATGGCAGAGTAGGGACTAGTCTTGGATCTCCCAGGTCCCTAGCCCAGCACCCCACCACACTGGCTCTCAGTGTGATCCTTCTTTACTGCATCTCCACCTGTGATCATGTCAGAACTATCAGGTGCATTGCTTTACCAAAGTGCTTCCTTGCATAGCCAGTGCTTATAGCAGGTGGGTAGTCTTGGTGGCGAAGAGATTTGAAGCCTAACAAGTAGGGCACCAGGGGAGTCTAGCCCCACATTGGACTCTGGACCTGCACAAGTCCTGGGAGTGTGTATATGACATCAAAAACTGATACTGGAAGGGGCATACACATACAGGGATCTGCACACAGTGTCAAATCCATTCCATCTGTGCTTTGTAAATTGTCAGGCTGCTTTCTTTCTACCATCTGCTCATTGATGGAATGAGATAGTGTGCAAAAGCATTTATATGCATTTATGCAAATTCAGGGTTGTGCAAATTCACACTTCTAAAAATAAGCAAATCTCCAGAATGCATATTTTATGATGGAAATGCACAGGTTTGCTTCCCCACCACTTACTTTTCTGCAACTTAATTTTGTAAAATTATGGAGAAAATAATAACAATTATGGAGAGAATAATAAGTCCACAGAATCCAAATGTTATGTTATGTTATTTGCGAAGTCATGTCTGATCCATTGCAACCCCATGGACAACATTCCTCCAGGTTCTCCTATCCTCCACCATCCCCTGGAGTTCATCTAAGCTCACACCAGTTCTGTTGCAGAATCTGCTGGTTGGATTCTTAGAAATGGGAATCCAACAGTTTAATGTGTTGCAGATTCTTTGATATCCCCATTGGGGTGTGGCATCCTCAACCAAAAGTTTGTTCACTGCTACAAAAGTGAGGTGGACTGGCCTCTACGGAGTGGGCAGAAAAATCAGACTACCAGTGCCCAGAGGAGGAGCAGGAGACACAAAAGCCTTCCAGAGACAACAGGAAATTGGAAGGAAGCTAGTTAAGGATAAGTTACATGGTAGGTTTTGGGAGCAAGTCTGAGTCCTCCAGGTGAACATTGAGGGAATGCCACAGGACCTTAGACCAAGGACTAATACATCTCCCTTAGAAGGGGAACTGAGACGGCCTTTGAAGGTGCAGGTGGCACCAAAAGAGAAAGCAGGAGGGGATGGGGAGAGAAGTACTCACTTGCTGTGAACAGGAGCACAGGAACTGCCAATAATAAAAAGTAGTCATAACTGTAGTATGATGCTGTGGAGTTGGCATTAAAAAAGGTTGTACATATGCCTTTGTATGGAATGTAGCAGATTCCATGCTTCCAGCTAGATGTTATTGAACAGAAACCTTCCCAGGCATCCAGTTTCCCTAGGATTCTGTGGAACTTGCTTTGGTGAACAAGGAATGCAGACTGTGCTGCTCACATTTTTCCTTTCAGTTGTTAAGGTCTGTGTAATGCCAGCCTGGGTGAAAGGAACAGCATCACTGGGTGTGCTCTAGAGAAGCCCAGTCTTAAGTGGCAAGGAGGAAATTTGCTGTTGGGTGGTAATCTTGGCTGTATTCAGCCCAATACAGAGTTGTAAAGTACACGAGACACCCTGGACCTGCATGATGGGCATTTAATCATGTTGGATGTACGCCACCGCATCCCATTTCATAGAATTGTAGTGCTAGAAGGAACCTCAGCCATCATCTGCTTTAATCTGAATTCAGGAGATCTGCTGCTACAGCATTCATCCTCTGCTTTAAAAACTCTTAACAAAGGACAATCTACTACTGTTGAACAGCTCATACTGTTAGATGAGCTTCCAAAGAAGCAAGTGGCTGCACTTTGCAAAGGGAAAGCGTTATTGTTACAGAACATCTCTGTAGTTAAGGGTCCAAGGAACTAGCTTGGCTCATATCCCTCATGTGGAAGTATAATTAGTCTTTGTGGTCTCTGTGTATCACATATATGGGTTCTATGCCTGCGTGGAACAGCTTCTGCAGTTAAGCATTAGTTTGAGTGGGAATTTCACTTCAGCAGACTTTTGCATTCTGTCATCATTGGATATCTTGATCATCAGCCAGAAGTGAAATTTTCATGGAAAAAGGAAGATGGTAATGGACTGATGAATCATTCGCATATATGGTGGGTGCAAATGATGGGGAAGGAATAAAAAAGGAAGTTAATGATGTCGGATGTGTGTGCACATGGATGTTGAAGTTCAAGCTGGATGTGTGTGACACATCTCTGAACAAAGGTTATTCTGCAAGAAAGGGGAAAGTCGTCTTGTCCAGGAAGCTTGAATCACTCCCTTGCCCGACACGAAGGTTCTTGGTCAAGGTTATGCTTAGCTTGTACCTGTCTTGAGCAGCTTCAGGGTATGTAGCACCTTCTCTGTGCCACAGTCTTATAGCAGAACTGTGGCAAGGTAGAGTGCTTGAAATCTTGGCAGTGAATGCCTTCTTATCCCCAAGGAAGGAGTTCCTGTTGTTATCCTTTGTTGCCTTCTGCCATCTCTATTGCTGCACTTAGTAACAAGGTGTTCCTGGCTGGGGCCCATCTTCCCCCTTCGCTTACTTAACAAGACACGTCCTTCAGGTCTGTCCTTAAGTCCCTGTTCTTCACTAAATCTACCCTGAGCTCCCCATCTCACCTTACCAACACCTCCATTGACATGCAGCCCTCTTCTCCCTCATTCTGCTTGCAACTCACTTGCCAATCTCTAACCTGTTTCTCACCTAACTGCCTAAAATAGGATGTTGGAAGCCCTCAGAGCAGAAATGGGGCCACTTCTCTGTCTGGAACAATACAGAACACAATTCTGCTCTGGCGGTGCTGGAGGAGGAGTGGGAAATGCCGTGGCCTACTTGTTCGCTGGCTCTGTGCCCAGCAAGCAAGCAGGGGCAGCAATGGGGGGGGGGGTAACAGGAGCTGGTGACAGTGGCAATGAAAAGGTTGAGAGAGGGAGGGGAGCCCACAGAGGGTGTCTTCCCCAAGGATCCTCAGAAACCTGGAGCTGGCACTGCTGAGTTCCATCTCTATCAAGATACAGTGAGATGTCACACATCCTAGAAACAATCTTCTTTGTTTCAATGCAGTAATGATCTGTAGGAGGGAAGCAGGGGTGTGGGACCGGGTGCTTAGCCCATCCTCTTCCGGCTGCTTTCTCCTTGGAACTCACCCCCACCATGGCTTATCCTCATGTGCCTCAGTGGAGTAGTTTGGAGTGAAGTGTCAGGGGAAAGTGGAAGGCAGAACAGTGAAATTTTATTTATTTAATATTTACATAACACTCCATTCCCCTAGGCTCTGGGTGGTTTACAGGAAGTTAATCTTAGAACTACTACCATTCTGCAATATCTCTGATCCAAATCACTCTTCTGAATTGTAGGAAAGGAGAGTGCTGGCAGAGTCTTCATTATTCTACATTGGGATATGTATAACATTATGCTGAGCCATCAGTTTCCGAGGTGTCTTGCAAAACCTTACTAAGTCACTTAAAGCGAGATTCTAATTGCATTTACTCAGAAGTAAATCTCATGCATCCTTCACAGGGTTTACTTCCAGATAGCTAATTTTCTGCTGAAGCTCACAGACTTCTGTGTGGGGTGAACAACATCTTTGCCTCTCCATGTGCGAGTGTACATACACATGTTTGTGAGTGTGTGCAGATAACTGCTGCAAGGGGAATGCAGATGATGCAGGGTTGCATAATCACAGAGGAGGAAATAAGGCATGTTACGTTATTTCCTCATGCTGATGTGGGAACATGTCATGGACTCTTTTAAGGTTCTGATGTGACGACCTGTTAACTAGAGCAACAAGCCACCACTGCCTGGTTTGCATGACCTGGCAACTCATCCTAACAAGAATATTTACTCCTTCATCCAAACTTGCCACAGGAATGCACAGTATAGGAAAGCACCCAGCATGGCTTATTTCCTTCTCTGTGTTTGCACAAACAGGCCCACTGCAGGATGTCAGTGGTAAGCAGGAAACCAGCTTCATCATGCCAAGCTTATGGTCCAGTAATCGGGGTACATTGAGAGCCTTGTAGTACAACAGATTACACTAGCTGTGCTCTTCTGACATCCTTGCCCTAAACCCAAAAAGCACTAAAGCAAGAAAGAGCATGTGCTTTGCAGCGGTTTGCATCAGGCTGACAGCTCCTGTCCCCTCCTTGTGTGGATGAATGATAACGGTATTTGGAAATAGGTCTTATATAGTGAAAGGATGCCATAGACTGCCATCTAGTGTTTGGCTTGGGACTTTGACAGGTGTCATTCCCCCCACGTGGATGGATTACCAGTTTCACCTCTCCCATCCACCCCCGTAGCCTCTTCCCAGGTGAATGAATAAGGGCCAGAGTTGTACTTCCCCATCTTTGTATGGCTATTTTTAACTTTTCCCTGGCTGCTAGTTTTAGCAATTTCATTTCCAGCGTACACCTTTGTGAGAATAGGCAGATGGAGTAGTTTGGAACAGGATGGAATGGAGCCTGAAAGGCAGCCAGACAAATGTACTCCCCTATAAGCAGCTCCCCTGCTTTGTTATCAGTGCCTCTCAAACATTCCCAAAGGCTGGCAAGATAACCTTGTACAAGTCCCCTTTTGTTCACTGGGGCGGGGCTTGTTCCTAGAACCATGAATAAAAGATTGCAACCTGAAATACATGGAAAGAAAGGAATTCTACTCAAGACCCATAAATGAGGTTTACTGTCCATATAAGGCTGCAGAGTTGTGCCCTTGGGAATAAGTCCCATTGGACTTACTTTCATCCAGGTAAATAAATGTAAGACTGGGCTGCACTTTTTTTCAAACCTAGTTGCAAATGCACTGTAAGGATTATAGAAGTATAGAATTCATTTCCTATGCATGTATATTTCATTTACATATTAACCATGCCAAAACAGGCTCCTTGTTTCCTGTTTCCAACAAAGCAGATTTTATCTATTTCTTAATGCTTCATTAGGGATTAGGGCAGGATATCTTTTACCACCCTCATTTCAGAGTTTCAGGTATGTCACCTGGCTTGTCATCTCCATGTTGACTGCACCGAAGAGTCATATGAGACATGAAACAGTCTCCTACTTACCTGGTCATTTAAAAACAACAAGAAGAAATGGCATTGTTTAAAGGTACCTGTTAGAAAAGAAATTTTGACCTGGGACCACTCAGCCAATTAACTTACGTTTTGGAGATTACCATTTGTGGTAGATTTTTCCACCAGTGGAAATCATTCAAGCTGAATTTCATTTACAGCTTAATCCTATCCATATGATTAATCAAACATCAGTCTGCTTGCATTCATTGAGACTTACTTTCAAGCAGCTGCATATAGGATTGCAACCTTGCCACACTATCCTATGCATGTTTACACATAGGCAAACTCAAGTGCATTCAATGGGGCTTACAAAGGATCGCAGCCTTAAGATGCTCCTAAGAAGCATCTTATTGCCTTGCCTTATTCACAGAATTTTATGGGGGCTCTAAAGGATAATGTCTTCCTAACTCCTAGTGTTTACCCACTGCTTCTGCTGGCTTTCTTTTTACCACAGATAATCTGTTCAGGGGAAAAAGAGAGTTGCTTCACAATGCCTTCTGATTGGTAGCACTAGCAGCCCTCTGTCCAGAAGCACTGTTAGTACCATGTGCATACACATTTCATTACTAGATGCAAACCCCATCTAAACTAAAAATATATTCTGAACCAGGGATCTTGCAAAGGGATCATGATAGTAGAAGCCAAATACTATTTGACAGGTGGTTTTCACATCTGGGAAAACATGCAGCTGTCTGATCCATTATATTTGCCATATAATAGTTTTGAATGAAGCACAGCTCTTTTGCATGGGTAGGAATAGGACCGTCAGCCAATTCTCGTGACCATGTTCTAAGATCTTGCATTCTTACTCACAAAGCAGGCACATAAGGTCTGGGAATTCCATATATGTCTGTTGAGTTGAATGATGTTCTGCACTTTTGGAAGGTTATCTGTTTTCCCGCTTTGTTGCTATGAACTTTTGGTGGAATAGGTACCATCTGGAAGCTAAGAGGGAGGAGAGTTTTGGAAAAACTTTCACCTGGAAGAGAGCCCACCAAATTCTCCTTCCCCTATAGGAGTTCCCTTGATGACTATTACTGCTTACCGCCTGCCTCTCCTTTGGAGAGCAAACTTTGGGGTACCCACAACTATTATTCCAATTCCTGTCTTCACCTTAGGCCTATTTTCAAGCTTTGTAATTGACAAACTGTCACTAAGGAAGGGAGGAAAAATTGCCATGCTAAGCTGAGTAAAAATGAAATGGGGTCCCAAAGGAAATCTATAGGAAAACCAGCTGGCATAATTACTGTCTGGAAAACTGGTGAGATAGTGCAGGATTTAGGGAAATGGAGATAGCAGAGTTGAGGAGCCATGAAGATAGAAATTAATGTGGGAAGGATACTCATTCATCCAGGCAGTTACAGCCTGTAAGTATTGGCATGTTTTTAAAATCTTCATAGTATAGATGTATATAGCACTTTGGGGCATGAATGTGCCTATTTGTGATATTGTATCTCATGACATTAATGATATTAATGCATTGCATATATACACTTTTTGATTTACACCTCCTCTTTCTGCATGTATTAGAAAGTTTCTCAGGTGTTTCTTCTTTCTCTTGCAGGAAGGTTTTCTTTACTGACTATGGACAGATACCAAAGGTGGAGCGCTGTGACATGGATGGACAGAATCGCACAAAGTTAGTGGACACCAAGATTGTCTTCCCCCATGGTATCACCTTAGATTTGGTCAACCGGCTAGTTTATTGGGCTGATGCCTACCTTGACTACATTGAAGTGGTGGATTATGAAGGAAAGAACCGGCACACTATCATCCAAGGCATCTTGGTGAGTGTTTCTTGTGGGAACCTGCAGGCGAGTTAAAGGCTGTATTCACGCAACATAACAATCCACCACATGTGGTTACCATGGTTTGTGGTTTCTTACTATAGAAACATAGAAACAGAGCGAGTCAGAAGGGTTCTCCTGGGCCATCTAGTCTGACCTCCAGCACCAGCCGGCTCAGCTCATGACATGCTCACCATGTGCATGTCCTACCTGTCTTTGAACACCCGCACCGATGGGGCCTCAACGACCTCCCGGGGAAGCCCATTCCACACCCTCGGGGTCCTAACTGTCAGGAAGTGCTTCCTGGCATCCAAATGGAACCTCGGTTCCCTGAGCTTTGCTCCGTTGGAGCGCGTCCTGCCTTCCTCTGCAGGGGAGAACAGGTCTCTGCCCATCTCCGGGTGACATCCCCTCACATTCCTGTATAATAGATACTATGACCTACCTGACAGAGAATCAAGTGGTTTCTACTTTATTATGGATTCAATCAAGCCCTCTCAATCTTCCCACAAGTGGCACATATTCCATCATCCAGTGTACCTGAATTTCAATCTCAAGATGCTTCGCTCCCTGCATGTGTCACCTGCCTTGTCCTTATTGGTCCATGAGAACTGGATGGCTGAAGCAGCACCTACAGTTACTGCTTCTGCCAGAGGACATTGAGTAGTTGCATGCTAAGACCATGGAAACCCCTACCCTGGGTTCAACAACACAACAAACCATAGTGGTGCAGAGAAACCATAGAACAAACCATTGTTTTTTATCATGGTTTCTGAAGCCCACTTATCATAGTGAAATATCATAACTGGGTTCAGGTAGTACAAGGGACTGACAATGGTAAAAACCTAGCATGGCTTGCCATATTGTCTGAATCCACTCAATAGAATCCTTCAGAACCATGGAGTTGCTAGGTCCAGTTCTTGTTCCTTTGGAGCATCCCTCTCTATGGGAGCACAAAAGCCTAGGAAGGTACCTTATGCCAGGTCAGACCCTTGGCCCTTCTAGCCCAATAGTATCTGCACAACTAGAAGCAGCTGTCCAGGGTTTCAAGCTTTCTGAGCTGTATCTGGCGTGCAGATGCTAAGAATCAAAGGCAAGGCCTTTTGCATCCAAAGCATGTGCTCTGCCCCTGAGCTATGGCTCTTTTCCACCATATTTCAACATATCTGAGAAACTCAGTAGCACTGAAAACTTTTGCTTTATGCTTCCCCTGATGCTGAAGGGGGTCCAAGTGCAGCAGCATAAATGACAATCTGACCTGTAGGATTTAGAATGAGTTAGGCTTAGAGGGAAGTGGAGTCTTCAGCATGAATGAAGTGTTAGGATTATCTAAGCAGATGGTAAGTCTTCTTTGTGAAGGAGGGGAATCTGTTGTCATTTTCCTCCCAGGCAGCTGCAGTTATGGAGAGCCAGCGTGGTGCAATAGATGAAGAGCTGGGCACACCCAGGTTCAGATCCTTGCTCAGCAGTGGAGCTCATTTGCTGGCCATGCCCATCTCATTAGGATTGTCGGATGAAAGCTGCTCTAAGCTCCTTAAACAGGATAACCATGCAGGAAGCTGTAACAATGATGTTACTCAGTGCAGAAGCATTTGTTGCGTAGAAGCAAGGAGCACGTAGATTGCAAGTGATGGCAGAACATCACAGGGGCTGTAAGCGATCTGAAGGCCATCATACCTTCCATTCCCCCACTTCTGATGTCTACCCCTGTTAATGCAACAGGAGATGGGCAAGGTGGTGTCTTGGGGTATGGTGTACCCTGGGCTCCATTCGAAGTGCTGTACCCCACCCACTTAAAAAATGAACAAATTTCATTACCAGCAGCTGGGATAGCTTTAATGCGAACAGAGGGCCCCTGACTGTTGTTGCCTACCTATTCCATTGAACCACACCTGGGGCCCAGAGACATTATTAGATGGTGCCAACTTTGGACAAGTGTTACTGTCTGCAACGTGTCGGGCTACCTAGAAAAATCAGTCAGAAAAGAAAAGGGGGCTTCTGTTGCCTCTGCCTGATGAGCTGCAGGGAGGGCTTATGAAGGCAACAGAGGTGGGGGAAAACAGTCAAATGGGGAGTAGCCAGAAAGAGCAATGGGAAGCCAACTCGGACGGTGTCAGGGAAGTGAACGGGAAGCAAGCAGAAGCTTGAGGAGCCACTGAGGGTAGCTGGGCTGTGTGCATTGGGGAGGGCTTTCCCGTTGCACATCTGAATGGATGTGTGTAAGAAAGGGAGAGGCAGAAAGAATAGAGTTGGAGGGATTCTGAAGAAGATTTCACCTTTGCCTTATCCTTGTGTCCTTTGGGACTAGCCATGCTTCCCACAGCAGCCATTTTGTGGTGGGGCCCACAACAGTTTCTCCTATTGCCATATGTGCTCATAAGCCCCCTGCTTGCCTGCTTCCAGTGCAGAGAGTCTGACTGTAATCTGCCATCATCAGAGAGCTGGCAAAGTGCAGGAAGATACAAGCAGAGCAAATAGTTTTCAATTATTTCAAGATAGGAAGCCAAGCTAAGCTATGCAGTACAAAGTGAAGTGAGAAGCCTCCAGGTCCTTCAAGCAGTTTTACCTACAAAAACAAACCCTGCACACAAAACCCAACTTTTGTGCCTTCTAGATAGAGCATCTCTATGGCCTGACTGTCTTCGAGAACTACTTGTATGCCACCAACTCAGACAATGCCAACACTCAGCAAAAAACTAGCGTCATCCGAGTGAATCGATTCAACAGCAGTGACTTCCAGGTGGTAACCCGGGTGGACAAGGGTGGTGCTTTACATGTCTATCACCAGCGACGGCAGCCCAAAGGTAGGGAGGGGCCAAAATCTGGGGTGGGCAGTGATTTGGGAGAAAAAGGGTGGGTTCCTGTGGGGCTGTGGACCAATTGGAAAGCCTAGCAGAACTGCTACTATTTGTATAATACGGATGTTTGGTGGGTCAGGTCTCTGTTCATTGACAGCTGCTTAAGCATGGTCTATGGAACAAGGTAAGGTTGCACTCTCTTTGTGCATGATGGTAAAATGATACACACACACACACACACACACACACACACACACACCCCTACCTCTCTTTGCAATATTCACTTACATAGGCACACAGATTTAGATTCTATCTAGCTCCAGAGGGCTTAGTCTGTTCTCTGTGTCTCATTCATTGCTGCTGTGTGTATTCTTCTGCCCAACCTATTATCAGTCTGGCATCAGATTGGGTAATCTGTCTATTCTTGCATATCATGTCCAGCTCAATTAGCACAAGAGGGTCCGGCCATGCTTCCTGCATCCCATTTATCACCCATCTCTGGCCATTCCATTATTGTAGGCTAGTTAGTCTCATCCGTGTAGCATCAGCCTGACAAGACTGTGTCTCTCTCTTGCTCATAGCATGAGATTAATCCATCCACTCACCTCCTGCTGTACTTGGTTTTTCAACTGGTCCATCTTTGTTAGGACCCTGCTAACTGACAGTGTGAGAAGGTCTAGCTATCCGTCCATTCTCCTTGGGAAGTGCTGTATTCATGGATGGACAGCAAAGTCCTACATTGTGCAGCATGTTGATCTGGACAAATTGTGGGAGCTGTTTCTGGGCAAGACATGCTCCCATTCTGTTGCAGCTCTTTACATTTTCACAAATACTGCATGAACGCAGATGTTCCCTCTGTGAGAACAGTAAAGGTTGCCATGATCCACTGCAACCTTCCCAACCTACTGCCCTCCCAATATTTTGGATGTCAGCTCCCATCAGCCTCAGCTAGGATCCAGGGCATCTGGAGGGCAGCAGTTTAGGTCAGGCTGATTTACTCACATATAGACCAAGTTTGGAGAATTATCTAAAGAGCATACATAATGTTAACTTACATTAATTAGATTTCAGCTAATGAAAGTGAGTGCTTTCAGAAGTGAGAGCTAATACCATCTGAGGTATTAGGATAAGTGGTTTAGCATTTCATACAGCTCTTGCTTCTGTCACTGTCAGTGACAAGCCACCAACAACCACAATTTCTGGGCTTGAATAGAAAAGCAAACCGTGGCATGTTACTGTTGAGACTTAAATATTCAAGATGGTGACTACCATTGCCCCAAGAAGCCCTGCAGGGAAATTTCCCCACAGTATCTTCTTGTTCACTGCAAACCAGATCAGTGGCTTGGTCCTTGAGGTGCCAGGAGTTCTTTTTAATATAGGAGACAAACTCCTCTCTCTCTTATATTTGTGGTGCCTAGTAGTGAGTAATGGATTAAATCTGTAGTCTTCCATTTTGCAGGAGAGAGAGACCTTTATGACTCATCCATACTCCCCTTTCACAAGAGTACGCTGGGGATTGCCAGTGGTTGGAATCGTTCTTGCAGCCTCTCATGAGATGCTCCAAGAATGCACATAATTAGCAGGGATATTAAAAAAGTCACTTTGCCTGATACTCCCCTAGATTCAAAAGGCCCTTAGGAGCTTGGCTCAGCTTAGCAAGCACTTTTGGCTGGTGGCAGCAGCAACATATCATATAAGTTTTTATGTCAGAGCAGCCCCTTCAATGAGGGGTGCATTTGTCAGGGAATTAATATTGCCCCACTGCATACCAAACTCTGCCTTTCTGCCTGACTTGTACTCTGGTCCCAGGTGTTGCACTCTGTATCTGCTTTTAAGTTCCCCTTACGAAGATCTCTTTGGATTCTTGCTCCTGTCTCAGGTACTTGTTCTCCTACACACAGATACCTGTCTATCCCCCATAGTACTTCTTCTATTCCAGCTCTACCTGGAAAACCAGGCATTGTGGCAAAATGTGTGACATGACTTCTGCTGTGCCCTCGTTACTCAGCATGGGCCAGTTCAAGTGTGTGTGTGTGTTTGTGTAGAATTCAGCCACCTAGTATATTGAATCAATGTGCAGAGCAGAGATGTAAGATCTCTCAAGAGCCATATCCCTGGGTGATCTGAAACATTGAGGGGGGGGGAGTTCTAACTCTTTTGATGACCTACTTAAGTACTACATTGCATTGTTGATATTATCATTATTTTACATTTGAAATATTACTTCCTCTTGCAAGGAACCCAAAGCTGCTTGTAGTGTTCTCATCTTCTCTGTTTTATCCTGTGAAGTAGATTGGGTTGCGAGTCTGTGACGGGCCTGAAGTCACCCAGTGGGCTTCATGGCTGAGTGGGGGCTAGGATCCAGATCCTTTGGGTCCCACTCCAGCACTTTCATTTATTTATTACAAACATTTATATCCCATTCTTCTGACAAGTGCTCAGGATGGCTTACATAATATAAAATTACAATAATACAGTAATAAAACCACAATTATTAAAACAATGTAAAACAGGACATCATAAACTAAGAAAAAAGAAAAGGGAGGAAAAGAGTAGAAAATGTGACTGTGGGGAAGAAGAAAAAATGATACATTGCTGCTGACCCTCACCAATAAAAAAGAAGAATGGAATGCAAATGAAAATGTGGGAAGAAAAAAGTCAAAGCATCCTTCTCCCCAGGTTCACTCTGCTCTAGATCTTATTGTAAATTATTGTTGAACTATCTCAGAAATGTTTACTTTGGTTTCAGCTAGACTCACATGTATCACTTTATTTATTTATTTTTATATTGCCCAATAGCCAAGACTCTCAGCTAATTAAAGTTAAGTGACCAGAAATCACTGCCAATATGCCCAGCCTTTCAGTATCAGCCGTTCCCAACCCCAAATCTAATCATCTGCCCCTTGCCGAAATGTGATATATTGGTAGTCTCCCAGAAGAGCCCTCCTGAACATTTTATTATCTCCCAGCAGCTCTTGCAGAGAGAAGTGAACTTGAAAGCTGTCCCCAAAGAGGACTCTGAGGTGTATGATTGATTGATTAATTACTGCCTTGCAGAAAAGGGAAAGAATTAAATAGATGTGGCATCTTCAAATATTAATATCTTCCCTCTAAGCGTTGTTTCTGCTGCGTCTCTGAGCAGAGATATTTGACTAGGTCACAGTGCTCCCTGGAAAATCACAACACAGGGCTGAATTTCCTTTTCCCTTTTCCTAGAGCTGGATGTGTGCCTTATTCCTTCCCCTATCCCATCAATTATCAGAGAGCTTTGGCTATGGGGTGGTATAGAAATGAAATAAATAAAAATAACAATCATCCCTCCATCCATCCACCCCTGAAATGGCCCTCCTATTCTATGTAGTAAATCAGTCTGCAAGCAGAAAATTCTCTTAGAGCCTTTGGTCTGCTGCTTAGGATTCTCTCAGCCATAAAACTAATCAGCAAACTTTGGGCCGACAAGCCTTCATATCACCAGGGAGGACTGCTGCTTAGCAGGTTCTCAGTTTCTGAACACCACGGCTAGAATGATATCAGTTGTGTGGCACTTGAGGTCCTCCAAGAGCAAACTTGCTTCTGTTGAGGCAATGGAACATTGGTTGACCTTCTGGCCCCATAACATAGGTTCCTGTTTGCTTGACATGGCATGAACTCAAGGCTGCTGGGAATGTCACCCAAAAGTGTCAGAGGATTTTTTATATTCTCTTCCTGATTGTCTGAATCTTTTCATAAGCAGCACCTTGTACAACAGCCACCCAATCATATATCTCACCATCGCAGCCCAGTCCTTCCCTGCAATAGGGAAATCAGCGCATAGGCAACTCGTACAGTCCCTTTTGGGCACACCTAACATCCACATGCCCCATGAGTCAGTCAGTTCTGCACCTGACATGTCAAAAACTTAGCAAGCTCACTCCTGTGACGCAACCAAACCCAGCCCAGTTGCTTTCACTGTTTATTTCATATGTATATAAGGCATGGTTTGTAGCACATTAACATTAAAATATCATATACAGCAATACATACAGTAAAAATAAACATGGTCCTCATAAAAATACAACAAAGGTACTGCAGAAGAAACCATTTAAATTAGGTGTGGCCCTCCAGATGTTTTCAGACTTCAACTGCCAGCTTGCCTAACCCTGGGCTGTGATGGCTAAGGCTGATGGGAGTTGAAGCCCAGAAACATCTGGAGGGCTACAGACCAGCAGGCTGTGATTCCTTGGGGAATGATTCTGCTTTCAGACAAGGTGTAGATTGCAGATCGCTTTCAGACAAGGCCTTGCTTGTTTGCAAGTTACCTACTTAATTTATGGCTGCTGCAAGAAATTTGGTGGCATTGGGTCAGGCCTGCAACAGAAATGCCCATGTAGTGGTGGCCATATGTAGTCCACCCCTGCTGTAAGTAAATCTCCTGCCTTCACTCACTGACCCACTTTTTAAAAACTTGGATAACCTGCTGGCTGTAGCAGTACTGAATTTGAATTCTGGCTGGTTTTGGTTACTGGCTACCCCATATCCTTCTCATTAGGTAAGTCCTGAGGCAACTCATTGGGCTTTCATGCTGGTTGACCTTGCACAAGATCACATTGCTTTTCTTTTGCCTCAGATGCGCCATCTGCAAAATGGAAATAGTTGAGAAAGAACTATTGGTATTGGTTTTAATTTCTGGCTTGATAACAGAATTATAGGATCTTACCGTTGGAAGGGGCCTAGAAAGCCATCGGGTCCAACCATGTAAAGTCCATTCAACAAAGCTGATTTAAAATCACCCTGCATCTGCTCAGTCCTGGCTCCCAAATGGAAATCTTGGAGCACTTCTAATGTGATTCTACAGTAGGGCTGCAAAAATTAGACCCAAGGCCTCATTCAGCCCATGTGGATGGGATTTCCATCTGGCCCTCTGGGGTTCCTCAGAAAGGTTTGCCCCTTTTACTCCACCCCCACATCCTTTCCCCCAACCACTGCTTGTTTGGTGGTGCCCTGCTTTTGTGACATTCCTTCTCCCCTTCTAAAAGGTTGTGATGGCTCTTCTGAGGCTTAGTGACTGGCAGTGAGTTCTTAAAGCTAAAATATGCTGATATTTTGGGGGTTGGCCCTGCTTTCTTTACCTTTGGCACCAGCCAGAATTAGTTTGTGACTCCTCCCCACAAAAAGAGATGCAATTTGGCCCTGAGGCTGAAAGAGGCTCTTCAGTCTTCCTCTAGGCAAAAAAAAGTCAGAAAAGGGTGAGAACATTTGAAACAAAGCTCAAAAGTTGAGAGGACCATTGTTCCTTGACACTCTTATTAATCATTCTGATCACAAAGTTGCTGCCTTTGAAAGCAGGTCAGAAGCCTCTGTTGGCACAGTATGCAAGGGCCAAGATTTTGACCAGGATTGTGTGCTCACATGCTGTCTCCCCAGTTGGAAAAGACCATCACTGGTTGCCTGTTCACTTCTGGGCTCCATTCAAATGACAGTTTCTTACCTTTAGATTCTTAGCCATGGGCCCCAAAAAGTGTGTCTGCCCATGTGTATCTGCCAACATGTTACAGTCAAAAGCTGCTGCCCTTCTTCAAGTGTGGTGTAGCAGTTAGGACTGTGAAAACTCAGCTTCAGATTCTCACTTGGCCACAGTGTGCTCTGGGTGAATCAGTTACCAGTGCCTACCCTACCCTCAGAGGGTTGTTTGTGAGGATAAAATATACATTGCCTTCAGCTCCTTGGAGTAAAAGTGAGATATAAATGAAATGTATACACAAACCCAAACATTGCAATGAATTTTCTGACAAGAGAAAGTGGCACCCCAGCTGTTAGATGCCCTTCCAAGGGAAGTATGTCTGGCCCCAACTTGCTGTCTTTTAGGCCCCAGCCAAAAATACCTTTTTATTTACCTAGAAATTTTAAAACATGTTCTTTTTTGGCTATTTTAAGTGTTTTAAAACTCTGATTTTTCATTGTAGTTTTACCTCCTTGTTTTGTGTGTGTGTTTTGTTTAACTTGCTCTTTAGTTTTTGTGAATCTTCATAATCGTTTCAAAGATTCATAATCATTAATAATCATTTCAAATTAATAGGATGTACACCCCAGGGGTATCTCAGTTGCTCAGCACTTAGTTGGATTCCCTCCAGACTGGGCAGTGATTTTTGCAAGAACAGCTAGAATCTAATCTCTCATCAGCCAAGAGCAAGATCTTGTCTAATTTACATAACCTTGAACTTAAATAAACTTTGTTTAAAGACATACCATACGCTGTGGGTGGTAATAGATGGAGGATTCATCATAGCACAAGCAATTAAAAAACATTGTGTAGCTATTCTGACTTTTCTTCCTGAATTTCTTTCTGCTAAAGAAAGGGATGACGGGAACAGCAGAAAAACTTGTGAGAGTTGCAAATTGGAAATGTTTTCACGTGGACGCCCAGTACAATTTTGTAATAATTGCACAATAGAAATAATTTTGTGAATGATTTCACAATAAACGCACGAGTCTGGAAGCTCTGGTTATGTTGATGGCAACTTGTATCATCCTGCAAGCCTTGCACTTCTTGCTTTAGGTTAGACTGAAGTCAGAGATCACTGACCTTTAATATGAAATACAATTAATATGAATAGAAGGGGTATAAAACCAGAGCCACACACCTGGAGTGTGGTGGTGGGGTTTCCACAATTGTTGATGTAATTAATAAAACTCCTGCAGTAACCAGACAGTGCACATGGTTATGGGGCAGCCACTGAGAGTTTCTCTCTATACATCCTTAGCAGCCAAACTTGGTGCATTCCAAGACAGTGCTTGTGCTCAATCTTAAAATGCCATGATGGAAGATCAGAGATGCGAGCTATGTAGAAATTAACTACATGGATTTTTTCTGTCTTGTTGCAGTGAGGAGCCATGCTTGTGAACCAGGCATGTTTGGCAAACCAGGAGGCTGCTCTGACATCTGTCTCCTTGGAAACAGCCACAAGACCCGAACATGCCGGTGCCGATCAGGTTTCAGCCTCGGAAGTGATGGGAAGTCTTGCAAAAGTGAGTGGCATGTAGACATTGTGGGTGTGGTGTAGTGTGCTGGGGAGCGAACCAAGAGAGTTTAGTTTTGCCTTGCAATTTAGGGTCAGTTTTCCCACAATAATTTGCCTTAGTCAGCTGGCTCTGTGAATCATTGCTGTGACCTGGTGCATGGTACAGGAAAGGTGTTTGAAGAGATTGGGATCATTTGCTGGTCCTGCTGACAAATAGGCCCTGTTACAATGGCAGATGCAAGGGAGCAAAGGGACTGATGAGAGTTGAACATGTGGAGAGCAGGATACTGAGAAAACGAGTGGGAAGGGAGTGAGAGATTGAGATTACGACCATAAGAAGCTGCTTTATACTGAGCCAGACCATTAGTACGTCTAGCCCTTTATTGTTGACACTCTCTAGGCTCACACAACATGACAAGCCTGAACCAGGGCTGAGTTTGGGTTGTCATTAAACTGTGGGTTGTTTTTGAATCATAGGTTGTTGTGAACCCAGCCACATCAGCAAATCATGGTTTGTTGACCGTGAACAGCCCAGAAAAGGAGCCCATGGTTTGAGTTATGCTCTGTGGTTGGTTTGTGGTTAACAAACCATGTCTGTCAGTGTGCCTGGCTTTCCACAGCACAACAACCCGTAATTCAAGAATAAACCATGATTCAGTGGCAATTCACTCTCAACTTGTACATAACTTATACTCAGGTATGTATAAACCAGGGCACTGACTAGCAGTAGTTTTCCCGGATTTCAGGTGGAAGTTTTCTCAAGTCCCAGTTGAAGGTGACAGGGATCAAACCTTGGACCTACTGCATGCAAAGCAGGTGCTCCCACTCCTGAGCAATGATCCTAAGTGCCAGGATTTTCATGTGAGAGTACAACTGCACGCTCACGACTTTGTGCAGCTTGTCCAGCTGGTCCAGCTTGCCACTGCCATGTAGGCCCCTTCTCCTTTTTTCATAAATCGCAGCTGCCAGCACTGTGGGCCAGTGGGTGGGGGTTGTACAGCGTACCAAAGGCCACACAGGTGGCAGACTGCAGAACTGCCTTAGTAACTAGATGTAGAATGATCTTGGTTAGCCCCTCTCCCAGGACACCTCGTGAAGAGCAAAGACACGACTGCTAGTCTCAGAGGTATGTTTCTTGCTCACTGTGATAGCACCGGCACACTGCCACATGGAAAATAAATTTCTGAGGGAAGGGCATTTTGAACAGGCTGGATCAACTCCCCATGAAGGTTGAACCCAGCTCCACTTTAGCCTGTGCTGCAATTCTGTGCTCCAAAACTTTATGCAAGTAATAATGTTAGGCTGGACCCAAGGATCTGTGCCACTTTGATTTCCCGATGTATCTGTTGAGTGGTGCCCACTGTGGACAGCCTTACTGAGGAAGCACATCCTGACCTCTGACTCCCCATTGGCTAGGAGGGAAGGCCAGAGTGGCCACAGTGAGCCAGGTTTTCTCCTCATTGAACTGTCTCTATGGAAGGGCTGTCTTTGCACTGACTGAGGCCTCTGCCTTCCCCACTGACGAAACTGCTGCTTTCAACCCCTCACCCCCACAGACCTGCTGTTATTCTAGTGCCTCGCCTCCTTCTGACTAGTAGTCAAAAGAGCTCCTCTGTCCGTTCTTACTCTGTGCAGAAGGGAGCAAGGGTGCACGTCATCAGGATACAGAAAAACTAGCCCCTGCTAGACGTTTCCACATACCAGATGATGCTACGTGACATGTCCCAGTTAAAAGTCACTCCTTTGTGGGTATAAATCATTTCGTCAGAGCCAAACTTGTGGTTGATTTTTGGCCAGGGGAAAAAAATCCCTGCTAGAGAGGGAGAACCAGCTGCCAGCAAAGCACCACAGTGTGAAAACCCTATTAGTCACCAAGCAACTGTCCTAATTCCCCCTTTTGCCTTTTCTTTTGGTAACTCCTCAGTTAATTTTCATGGGGAGTGCCATTGCCTGTAAAAGTTGCTGACCGTCTGGTTTCCTTCAGCCTGATAGATACTAATCCTGCCCTAGGGACTGAGGACCAAGCATTCAGCTGGGTTTCCTGGGGCTCTGACAGATATTCATGTAGCCTGCTAAAGAGCCACTATTAATTTAACAGGGGGTGGTGTAATGAGAACCAGCAGCTGTAGACTAAATACAAACAAATTAAACTTGGAAGACTTGCACAACTATTTAGCAGGCCCAGTGAACAAATACGCAGTTGTCTTCTTGGCTCGGGATGGGTGCTTGCCAATATATGGGCAATATTGTTGAAGGATGGTAAACATAGCAAAGGTAAAGGGCACCTGGGCACTTGCACATGTAGGATGGTTTGGGGGCAGAGGGATCATGCCAATCTAGCCACACCAGGCCTCTGATTATGATTTGTTCATACAGTAGACTAAGAGATCTCTGCAATCCTTGCATATGACGCAGATCATAGAAGGGATTTGTTCAGAAGGTTGTAGTTTACTTGCTGAATTCCTTTTGGGGGAGATTTAGGGGGGGGGATGGGGGTACATTATGTGAAATATTTAAAGTACCAACATGCTTTAGCTTAACACTCTTACTGCTGATAAATAAGGTTTAGCAGAGGAATGTCAAAACTTTAGCATGGGAAAAACTTTGCAAAAGGCAGGAATGCACCAAAGGATTGGCAGTCTGGAGAAGCAGGTAGGACCAAGGAAATGGGCATGCTATCTTTGGAAACCTGGCCAGGTTTGGCCCTCAGAACTGAAGTTTAGCACCCCTGCTCTACACACATGGATTCATGGACTTCCCAGTTGCACTGCTAGCTGTGAGGAAGCTGCTTACTGGGCCACCTGTAGCCCAGCTGCCCTCTTTTCCTTTTTTTTTCCCCTTTCCTTTTGCTTTTATCAGCCCTTCAGGTCTAACCTACACATTCTAAATATTGCAATCAGCATGTATAATCCAAATTATGCATATGACTCCCAGTGTCATGTGGGTTGAAAAATTAACTTTGTAGGCTCAGGTTTTAGATTTACTATTATTTTAAGCGGTCTGGGGGAAAATATATAATTATTCCATGTAAGGAGCCTCTTCCAATCTAGTGCCCATGGTTGTTGGGGATGGTGGAAGTTGTAATCCAAATCATCAGTGAGGCACACATTTGGGAAAGCCTAATGTAGAACAGTGCTTGGCAAAGGTAGATCTCTGTATGTTTTGAATTTCCACTCCCAAGAAGCCCCTGCCAGCATGTCCAGTCGTCAGGAAAGCTGGGAGTTGAAGATTTACTTTCTGTCCAACCTGTATGTAAAGCGTGCTTCAGCTTGAAGCAAGGGAAGGAGGCCAAGGAATCAGATAAAGGTTGAGGTGTGCAGGGAGCTGCTTCCTCACTTATCAAGCAGGGAACTCCTGTTCTCTCTGTTGCCAGCCTCTGGTTTCAGAAATGGAGTTGGCTGCCTTCTGTTCTTTCATGGAGACAGAGGGAAGCCGGTTGTCTATATGAAACCTGGCTTTAAATTAATGGAGGATACCTCTGTCAGCAGCTGTCTGTCACAACAGCTGTGTGCTCCCTGCAGGGTGACAAGCACCATGCTTCTCCATGCCACTGGCTGGGGAGGGTGGTACTGCTCTCCTCAGCAGGAAGCTGCTATGTCTTCAAATCCTCCTTGTGGGTGCTGATAGGTCCTTGATCTGATCCAGCAGAGCCTTACTGAGGTTCCTGTGGGTGTTACTTTGACCCTTGTGGAAAGCAGGAAGGCTTACCCTTGCCGGTGAACTCGAGTGGGAATCATAGCTAACCTTTCTCTGTTGTCTTGCAGAGCCAGAGCATGAGTTATTCCTTGTATATGGAAAAGGTCGCCCGGGCATCATCCGTGGGATGGACATGGGAGCAAAAGTCCCTGATGAGCACATGATCCCCATTGAAAACCTGATGAATCCCAGAGCGCTCGATTTCCATGCAGAGACTGGTTTCATTTACTTTGCTGACACTACCAGCTACTTGATAGGAAGACAGAAGATTGATGGAACGGAAAGGGAAACAATCTTGAAAGATGGTAAGTGCCTGACTTTCAGTCCCAGTCAATGTCTTGTATCAGTATGATAGATGCTGTTGCAATTTCCAACAGTGGGGCTAATGGGACTTAGAATGGATTGATCAGGGTTTGAATCTCTGCTTTTCCTAATGGGAAGAATCTGGATTTTGATACATTCTCTTTACTTAGAATATGGGTCAGCTGGAAGGTACCAGGAAGGGGTGGTTTGTACAGATTTCACTGTTTGTTACGCATGTTGACTTTCTTCATATGCCTGTGGATGCAAACCCATAAGCTGTGTCCTGCTGCTGATTCTCTCTGCATCTTTTGAAGCAGGTAATAGGGTTGGCACATGTGTATTCATCATGCCTGGTTTCTTGTCTGTTCCAGTAGATATCACGCATCAGAGCTCATGGCACCATTCATATGGTCCTGTCACTTCTGTTTCTCTCGTTGGTGTCTGATGTGTCCCCATCTGCCGGGTTTGGTCTTGCTGAGTGCAATTGTTGTTTTAACTCCTTGCAGGCATTCATAATGTGGAAGGCATTGCTGTGGACTGGATGGGGAACAACCTGTACTGGACCGATGATGGGCCCAAGAAGACCATCAGTGTGGCCCGGCTGGAGAAAGCGGCCCAGACCAGGAAGACACTGATTGAAGGAAAGATGACTCACCCTCGAGCCATTGTGGTCGACCCCTTGAATGGGTAGGTACAATGGTGCTATTTCAGGCAGGACAAGGACGTCTGCTTTTGCCAGCTGTTGAATGGGCTGGGGTTGGAACAATCAACTAGAGTGCTAAAATTCAGGGGTGCAAAGCACAGTGTGAAAAAGCAAACCATCTCTTGTCCCAACATGAGTTGTTTGAAACATCAGGCTATACATTTGTTTCTGAGATTTTTATCCCATCCTTCTTTGAAAGAGCTCCCTCCCCAAGAGGCTGTATGCTGTTCTAACCCTTTGTGGCCTGCACTAGAATGAATTTGGATGGGCCCCTGAGTCATTCAAGTGTATGAGAGGAAGGATGTGGCAAAAGATGGAAGAGTGATTCAGCGCCAAATTACAAAATATGTCAGAAGATCTGCACTTGACCTCCTGATGTTTTACTCTATTGTTTTACCGAAATGCAGCCACAAAGGGCTGCTAAAGGACACTTAATCTGTCCATTGCATCACTTCCCCAATCTGAATCTTTCCTGTTAAACTTGTGCTTGCTTTGCAAGGGATAAATGTAGGCACACATCTCATGCCTCTGCCTGAGTTGCCCCATGAGCGGATATCATCCAGGAAGAGAAGGGGGTTTTAGGTATGGGAAAATGGCATGGGCTGAAAGACTCCACCTGTTTCCCCCTTGGTAGCATTTTCCCAATCAGATGAGCAACTGCTGTACTTAGTGTTTAATACAGAACTGTCCAGAGATCAGTTCCTGCTCTCCCAGTGTATAATGCAGGGTCTGGGCAAGCTGTAGCCCAAGGGCCTAATGGGAAAACCTTCTGCAAGTGATCAGTTCCCACTCCTGGCAATACTCCTGATTGGCCCCTCCTTTGGCGTGAGCTGGGTAGAGCGGGGTGGGAGAGAGTGCTTTGATTCTCTCCTCCAGCAGCTTTGGTCTCGCCCAATACCAGCACGTGGCAGGAAATACCACCCTTGACAGAAGCGCAGTTTGCCACCACTGGGGATCTGTAACGTTTGTCTCCTAGTGGTCAGGATTGTTTGCTTTGGGTCCTCCGTGTTATGTCCCTTCTGTGTCACAGTGCTGGTAGATTCTTTCCAGCTAGTCATTTTTCCTTTATCTGAGCATCTCAAGTTGGAACTTTAGCTATAAAAAAAGACTGCCGCCACAAATTGCAGACCTATGTCACATTCTCCCCCATTTTTTCCCTGGAAAGTCTAGGCATATGAAGAAAGAAACTGTCTTATATCAGGTCTGCCCCTTGATCCATTTAGTCCACTGTTGTCAACAGTGACTGGCAGCGGATCTGTTCAGGCAGTTGTTTTTCTGGCCCTCAGTGGAGATGCTGGGTTTGAACTTAGGACCATTTGCTTGCAACACATGCACTCTGCCACTGAGCTACGGTTCTTTCTCACCAAATCTTAGTATCACTGAGAGTTGTGCTTTTGCCTTAAGTGCCATTTTCATGTTCTGTGTTCCCACACTCTCCATGCTAGCAGCATCCACCAATGATCGGAAGGGAAATACTCAGAATTTGATATTTATCCTTTTCCAGGCTAGGACCCCACAGAAATACTGGTGAGACTTTGCAAGTGCAGGAGATAAGATGCTGGTCAGCTCTCTCTAGCATGGAGCAACTTGCAGAGGATCAAGTTAAGAATGTTGCTCTAGCACTGAACCCATTTGTGAATTTAAATACACTTGCAGCCAAGGTGTGGCCTTGGTCTGCCCTCTCTGGAGGAAGCTGTTCTGACTTAAAAGGGTGATACTCTATCCTTCTGGTTCAGCAGGGCTGGGAAACTTCTGTTGTTGGCTCTAGGTTGAGAGTTCTAGGGTGCCCTCTTGCAGATAGATGATTCTGTGGAGGAGGCTTTGTTGAAGTTAGAGCAAGGGGGCACAGCTAGTTCCCAGGATGAAGCAGATGCTAGTGGTTCTGGATCTTGGAATTCCTCTCCCACAGAGTTTACAGAAAGTGGGCATTTTTGGTCTTTCTCTGAGCCCCAGATATGTCCTCTGTATCATCAGGCTACAAATCCAAGACCCTGGGAATAGTTGGTGTCCTGAAAATAGCTGCTTTGATTTTAAGCAAAAAACAAATGCATAGCAGTTTTATAGCCCTTCTGGCTGCTTGGCAGCGTGTGGGTCAAGCCTAGTAAATTCTGCCAAGGCAGAGATTCCCAAAGCTCAGTGAACAGAGATTCATTCATTCATTTAATTATGTACTTACTAACTTGTATCACAAACCTTCAGCACAACTGTGCCTGCAGGGCAGCTTACATTAGAATTAAAAATACTTAATGCAAGGCAATCTCAGAAACAGCACAACTAGAAGTAACAAAGATAAGATAGCAAACATAGTACAATAACATTAGAAGACAAAACTCTTACCTATTACAACTGCTTTTTTAAAAATGGTTTTGTGGTCTGGGAAAGTGAAATTTTACCCATTGCAAAAATGACATGTCCTTTAAAATAATTCAGTTAATGAGTTGCCCTGTAGCTGAAATTTCCATGATAATGTGCATGATAAAAGTAAAACCAATAAAAACACAATAAAAGGCATTGTTTTACAATCAGCAATGAAAATTCAGCATTCGAAAGAGATTCATAACTGAGTAGCTAAAAATGTAAAGAAGCTGTTGCAGCATTACACATGCTTAAAAAAAAATCGGGTGAATGGAGCAGGCACCAGCAGCTGACAAGTGTGTGCAGAAAGAGTGTACATGATTGAGAAGGCTTTCCCTGTATGCCACCTTGCCTCAGAGAGCAAGCTGGGCACCCAGAGAACAGCCTCCAATGACAATATCAGTGATCAGGCAGATTGATACAGGCAAAGAGGGTCCCAGAAATACCAAGCCCTAAGCTGTATAGCACTTCAAAGTTGTTCTAGCGTAGGTGAGATGTGACCCCCTTACCTGACTCTTTAGTCAACATCCTTTCTCCTGTGGGGGAGGTTTGAATAAACATGGATATAGGTCACCTCCAGGCACTTTTAAGTGCCTCAGGTCAAAACCATTGGAAACCACCCCTGAAACCCAACTAGGTGTGTTCTGGGCACCTGCCTGTTCTGTAGAGTATAACCAGCAGCATCCAGATTGAGGTGAATGTGAGCAATCTGTAGCAAAAAGCCTCTGAGGCTATGCAAAAGGCACACTTTTTCTGTCAGGTTTTTTTTTAACAGAAACTTGAAGTACTTTAAGTTTTCTTGGAGTACAAGTTGCAGAATTCTGCCTTTCTTAGTCAGAGTCTTAATTTCCTTTTTTGAGGAGGGTGGTGGAATGCGCAGCTTTCAGCACAGACCTTCCTTTGCTTTACTGCCTTCTTCTTCAGTGCTTGGCATCAAAATCCTCCAGATTACAGGGGCCTGCTTCTGGCTGGCTTATGCTGAGCCTGGGAGTCTCAGGAACACTGGCCCTATGTTCCAAACTTCATCGCTCACATGTGTGCTCTACTGGCTGATTCTCTTGCAGATGTCACAGGAATTTCCACTCAGCAGGAAGGAATTATTCAGTTCATTTCCTGCTGAGCTGATTCCTTGAAGAATTCAGCCCATGAGTCCCATCTGTTTTCACACTGGGGTGTCTGGGCCTATGGGGCTTGAGTCCCTGGGGATTCAAAGGCATGTCCTGTTTTTAGCAGACACTCAGTCATGACCAGCAGGGGATGGCATTGCAATGTGTGTTGACTCATGAGCTCTCCTTGACTCTGGAAGTAGCAAGGGCCAGGAGGGGGAGTACATTTCATCCCCGTTAGAAGAGCTGTTTCCATTTTGTCTCCACTATTCATAATGGCCCCCTTTGCACTGTGATTGCTCTTTGAAATGCTTTCTTCACCTCGCCCGCTATCCCATCCAGACAGAGCTCAGGTACCTGGTCCCTTCAATTCTGTTCTGGTGCCAGTTGACACTGCTCAGAGGATCCAGTTGTAGCGCCACCTGCCCCATTAACTTGCATGTATCTGTTCACATGGTGCTTTTTAGGCTGCATGGAACAATATGTCTGACCTAGTTTGAATTAGCCATGCTCTGATTGGTTAATGCAAAGAAACAAATGCATTGTTTCTGAGCCTGGGCCTGGGAGAGGAGCAGAACCTATTCTTCAGGCTGGAAGGGGAGCCGGAGCCCTTGCAGTCTGTATCCATCTTTAAGGATATTCTAACAAAGCATTTTCCTACCTGAATGGTTGTCTCATCTCAGGTTCGGCTTCTCTTATGTATTTATTAACATTTCTGTACCTCCCAACAGCCAAAACTCCTGCGAACAATTCATGCAATTAGAACCATAAAATGCAACATCATAAAATACAGTATAAATGTTTAAAAGGTTTTATGTAAATAGAACCCAAAATAAAATCCAGCAGCAGTACAAAGATTTAAAATACAGTAAAAGATTTAAAACAAAAGAAACTGGAACACTAAAATGTCTGGGAAGATTAGAAGGGCTTCACCTAGAGAGTGATGTTATTAGGCAATTCTTGGTCTTCTACCTAATAATATTCCAGGGTTGCATCTTCTTGTTGTCTCCCAAATTGGCAGTATTCATCAATCTTGCTTTAATTCATTATTAAATCTATATTCCAAATCTAAATCTTTCTAATCTAAATCTTTAAATCTAAATCTTTCCACTACAAATAGTGCTGAAGGTGGCAACAGTAAAATAGAAAATAAAATACAAAGTTATAATTCAACTATAAAAATGAATCAATTACCAATATACCAATGAAAAGAAAATAAATATTTTACAAAATAGTATTATTTTTGGAGAATACAAAGTCTGCAAAGCTGATTGTGTAAAAAACATCAAGAGTAGTAGGGACAGCACTGGGGATTGTTATTGTGGCACTCCCAGGGTCCTTCACTTTTGACTGTGGTAGCCAGGACCGATATGAGTTGCAATCCAACAACATCCAGAGGGCCAAATATTCCCCATCCCAGGGGGAACAATATACATTGAGAGTGAATATGCTTGAATATGCTCAAGGTTAGCACATGGTTGGAAATGGGGTGGAGACACTGTTTATTGAGGGCATTTGTTATG